AAGAAGAGAGCAGCAGCCACAGGCAGAAAAGAAGAGAGCAGCAGCCATTGGAAATAATACCCAGAAAGGAAGTGCCAGACCCATGAGGCTTTATATAGGATCATTCCACTTCAACGTAACTGAAGCTATGCTTGGTGGAATCTCCGAGCCTTTTGGCAGGAAGGAAGCATCCAGCTGATGAGATAGCGTCAAGCTAAGGGATACGGATTTACTGTGTTCTCAGATTCAGCATGGGACAACTGAATGGATTTGAATTAGCACACAGGCCTACGAATGTTGGCCATGTTACTGAATGTACTGATGCTTCCAGGGCCAGGTCATTTTTGGATAGTTATGAGCTGGAACGGACTAGAATTAACGGGAACAACTGGTCATCTCCAACCAATGACAGGCTCTGCAGAAGGAACAGGTGTAGAGATTATTCCTCCAGCGGCAGGACAGACTCTCAGCGTGTGGGGCTGCGGCACACGGACAAACCAGACTTTGCCAACAGAGAGAGGCCACAGCTCGAGCTGCAGCTGCTTCTATGCAGCGAGGGTGGGAGAAAATCTGAAACTCAAAATTTAAACAAATGAATGTTTAAAATTGTCTTTACATGTAATTGGGGGGAAATAAAATATTATTAAAATGTATTGAGTAGAAGAAAAAAATGTTAACACTAATTTAATACTAATACTGTACCTTGTGTTCAGGGCCAGTCCTGCCAGAAAGTTTATTTTATCATTAATCTATATCCCAGTCATATGTAGCTTGCAGGGAAAGGGAGGGAGAGAGAGAGAAAGACAGAGGCAGAAGACAGAGACAGAGAGACAGAAGAAGAAGAAGGGAGGAGGGAAGGAGGGAGAGAGACAGAAAGAGAGAGAAAGAAGGAGGAGGGAGAGAGAGAGAGTGAGAGAGAGAGATGTTTCAACTGACAGAGACTCTCATGCCCTCTGCCATGACCTTCTGCCCTCACATACATTCAAGTAACTCTTTAGGAATCTTGAACAAGGAAAAGATCTGTTAAAATATAGTTGGAGGTAACATTCCATCCTATGCTCTTGGACCATTCCCTGGGAGGAATCCAGGGGGCTCCTTCCAGAGATCTAGATCAATCTAAACTTCATAGGAGCCACAAAGGCCACTTTCCATTACAGCGGGCACTTCCCTGGAGGGGTCCGAGAGCCAAAGTCTCCCAGGATGGGAAAGGCAGAATTAGAAGACTGGTGGTCACCCTCAATCCATTTCCTTAAGAAGGGCCTTCACTTTTGTTCCTCTTCCACTATAGACTTTCCTTTCTCCTCCTTCCTTCCATCTTCTGGAGCTCCCTGCGGTGGACCCAGCCTCCCTGGCCACCCTCTCCAGCATGGGCTACCCTTCGCTCTCCTGCCCCTCGGGATTACCCTTGTGTCCAAAGCAGATTGGCAAGTACCCTGGTCTTTTCTCAGTCTTCATTCTCCTGGCTCTGTCCGCAGGCTTTGATGCTGCCCATCACTGGATCGCTAGATCCCTTCTTCTGGATGCTCCTTTCTTTTTGGGTGTCCATGACCCGGCCCTCTTCTGGGTCTCCTGCCAACCTCTGCTCTGAGTCCAGTTCCTTTGCTGGATCATGTAGATTATGTCTCCCACCCACCCCCGGTGCCCTGCAGGGCTCTGTCTTGTCGGTCTGCAGGTCTCAGTTTTTACAAAAAGACTTCTTTCCTGGTCCTTTATTCTAGAGCTTTCCCTTGGAGACCACTCCCATGTTATCTGGCCTGTATCTTGTTTGTACATGGCTGTTTGCCTGCATCTCCTCCATTAGCAGAGAGCTCACTGAGAACTTGAGTGGGTTTTGTTTTGTTTTGTTTTTGCCGTTCTTTGTCTCTATCCTCAGCACTTAGCAAACTGCCCTGCACCCAGTAGATGCTTAAATGTTTGGTGATTTAATTTGACATATATTCCAATGGGGGAAACAATGTGCAAATAAATGGACATAGATACAAGATACATATAGAGGAGATACAAGGTAATCTTAGAAGAAGCAACTGGGGCCGCAGAGGAGGCCTCCTATAGGGAAAAAAAAAGTCATCTATCTGACGTCAGTGTGTGTGTGAGTGTGTATATATGTGTATGTGTGTGTGAATGTGTATGTCTGTGTGTCTGTGTATGTTGAGTATGTCTGTGTCTGTATGTATGTGTGTATCTGTGTGTGTGTCTGTGTATATGTGTATGTATGTGAATGTGTGTATATGTGTGTGTGAATGTGTGTGTCTGTATGTCTGTGTATATGAGTGTGTCTGTGTATGTATGTGTGAATCTGTGTGTGAGTGTGAGTGTGAGTGTGTGTGTGTGCCTGTGTGTGTGTCTTCATGTCTCTCTCCCTATCTATGACTAGACCTTGTCCCCTGTCTCCTTCCCACCTTCCTGCTAGGTGTGTGTGTGTGTGTGCATGTGTGTGTGTGTGTGTGTGCCTGTGTGTATGTGTGTTTGTATATATTTGTGTCTCTGCGTATGTGTGTGTGAGTGTGTGTGTGTGTATGCCTATGTGTGTGTCTTCACATCTCTCTCCCTGTCTGACCAGGCCTTCTCCCTTCTCCCTACAGAGCCTCCTTCCCACCTTCCTGCCAGAAGCCCCGCCTCCCACACCTCCAGCTCAGTATCTGTTTCCCTCCCTAACTGTCTCTCTTCATGCCTGTTCTCTCAGGCTTGGGACTTTGGCTCCATGCCTCCAGCTTGGCTTCCCCACCTGCCTAGAGGCCTCTTTCCTGGCCGGCCGCCCACTCACTACCCCTTACACTCAGCGGACCCAAACGTGACTCATCCTTTGGGCTCTCAAGGACAGAGAGCTCCTAGGTCTGGTACCTGTGACTTATGTGGACACAGTTCTAGGACTGTAGATCTCAAGTTAGAAAGGATCTCAGAGACCATCTGGTCCACCCCCCTCATTTTACAGTTGAGGAAATTGAGGCCCAGGGAGGTGAAGGGACTTACCTGAGGCTAAACAGTAAGTATAGTAGCAGTCTTGGAGGTGGGATGGCTGATTCTCTTACACCAGGGTCCTCCTGGCCTGAAGCTAAGCCTGCTTCAGCCCCAACTGTCCACATCACAGGACCAGTCCCCAGCAAACTCCTGGAAGCCAGAAGGGATCCGATGTCAAGTAGGAAACTGAGGCCCAGGGCAGAGATGCCACTTCCCGGAGGTCCCAGGGGCAGGAGGCCTCTGACTCTGAAGCCAGCTAGAGGCCACCTCCCCTAGTGGGGTCTCTGTTCCTATCCCTTGTTCCATACCCCTACTGTTCTTCGTTTCTATGTCCCTGGGCCCAGGCCTCTCAATGTTCCCAGGGCTGTGCCCCCATCCCTTGCTGTCCAAGTCCTCGACCTTCTCTGACCCATTCCTCATGACCCACACCCCCAATTCCCATCCAGTACCTTTCCTAGGCCATCCATCTGCTTCTCTATCCTCATTCCTCTCTCTGTCCCTGTCCTCACTCTCCTTTCCGTGTTCCCTCCCTCTCTCCATCACTGGTTATAGCCATTTCCCCATTCATCCACCCCTCCTTCTCCCTCCCTCTCTTCTCTCCTCCCTCCCCTGCTTCCTTCCGTTTTCTTTTGGCCCTGTCTCTGTCTCTTGCTGCCTCCCTGTCCAGAACCCTCTTTATGTCTCTCCTCCCCCAGCCCCCTCAGCATGGAGTAGGAGAAAACGTTTGAGCACTCAGAGCTTCAGTGGCGCCATATGTAAAATGACAGATTCCCCCACCACCCAAGTTGTTGTGAGGTTTTAGAAAAGTGAATGCCTGTGTCCCCAGTACTATTGGATCCTTGCCAGTCCCATCCCCCTAAGCTTGCTCCCAGTAGACTGAACCTTGGGGTAGATTGGGGCGCATGCAGGAATAGAGGTACCTTCTTTAAGAGGCCTTGGGGCTGGAGTGAGAAAGTGCTGGGCAAAGAGGATTTGAAGGGAGGAAGTTGTTGGGAAAGAAGGAAGTCTCTCCGCCAGCTGGGAAGGATTTGAGGATGGAGATGTCAGCCCCAAGGTCCCTCTCCCAACCACACCCTGAGAGGGGAACTCCAGCTGGGGGAAGGAGGGAGGGCCAGAGAGGGCCTGATTGCCTGGGGCTCCCCTTCTCTCACCAGAGCCCAGCAGTCACTGCCAGGGAGAGGAGGTGAGCTGGAGAGCCCCCTGGCTCTGGTATCCCTAAAGAATATTGGGAAACTGGACCCTGGGGAGGCTTGGGGAATGGGACGTTGGAGTCGGTCCCTAAGGGGCAGCAGCTGATAGGTGAATGTGCTGGAGCAGTTGTGGGAGTCCCTAAGGTGCCCTGGAAGCCAGATGCCTGGGCCCCTCAAAGAAGCATAACCTTGGAGCTGGGAGGGCTTCAGAGGCACCCTGCCTTCCCAGAGGGCCTCTACATTTGCAGGGAAGCAGCACCCCCTTGCCTCTCAAGGGGAGCAACCCCATCTGGTTAGGTAGGTTTTCCTTTGATCATGCCTTGATTCTACCAGTCTCAAGATTTGGGGTGTCAGGACCCCACTGTCCTGTGGAGAAGGGGGGGCCACAGAAGGAGAGCCAGGTTTGCTGCCCAGCTCTATGTGGCCCTGAGCATATATCTTCCCGTTTGGGTCATAGTTTCCTTTTCTAGAAAGGAAAGTGGGGGATTAGATGATCTCCAGACATTTGCCAATTCTAACATCTATGACCACAGCTATGGACCCCAAGAGAGGAGGGGGGAGACTGGATCCCGAAGGAGGCTGAAGGCTTTTCAGCTGGGCAGCCCCAGTCCCTTAAGTTTTTCTGCCTCCTGAATGTATTTCTGGACTTTGCCCCCCTCTTCCTTGGCCCCACCCAGTCCAACCCCAGTTGCCCCAACCTTACTGGGAAGTGGGGACTGGTCCCTGGATCTCCACACTTAGACACCGGAAGAGAACCACCAGCCCCTTGGGGAAGGAACGGAGTTGGGTCCCCTGGACGACTTGGAACACTCAAAGATCAAGGAAGGGCAGTAGGGGGTAAGGGGCCCAAAGATTCTGAGAAAGGGGAATGGACTAGAGATGGCTGAGAGGTGCTGAGCGAGCAGAGACTGTGATGATGAGGATGGGGGTGGGGGTGGGTGGGTGGTGCTGAGGGGGCTGTGACTCTGGATCCTGAAATGGAAGCGGCATCGGGGAGACGGGCAGGGACTCAGCAGTGTCAGTCTGCCCTGGGCTGCTCTAGATGCCTGTGTCCCAGCTTCTGGGAAGAGCCTGCCCTAGCTAGGGTGCCCTCTTTTTGTGTGGAGCACTTTCCACAAAACTGGGGGGTCACATCTGGGACTGAGCAGGACCCCCGACCCTTCCCCCTCCCTGTCCCAAGGAAGGAGGGCAGTGGGGATCTGTCTTCCTCTCCTCCCTGCCCCTCCCCTCCAGGAGAGTCAAGCCTGCCCCTCCTTCCATCCCTCCCCCTTCCCCAATCCCCTACACCTGGGCTACCCTGGGCTGCTCTCGGGCAGACGCTGCTCTCTGCTGGTGGTCACCCCTGAATGGCGCCTCTTTCTCTGCTCGTTCCCCACAGGAGGCCCCCTGGTGATGTGGGGTTATGTGGCCCTGCTCCCAATCTGCCTGGCGGTGTGGGCTATAGTTGGGGTCTGGACAGTGTGAGTCACTGCGAGGGGATGGCTGGGTCCTTGTGGAGGAGGGAGCCTCTGAATGGACAGAGGCTGGAGCCCTAAATCCTAGGTCCCTGGGTGGTGATGGGGCCTGAGATGTCCAGTTCCCCTGGATGGGTCACAATCCTTAGAAGCAGGGATGGCCGGGGACAAGGCAGGAACTCCCGGGGAGGGAAGGGCCTGGCCCAGAGGACTAGGCCATCCTCTCTCCCCCCTCCAGCTTTGCTTTGGCCGTATCCAACAAGTCTGTGAATCTCACGGATGGCTTTCCTTACATCAGGTATGGGGGAGCAGAAAGAGAATGATCTGCTGAGGGGGGTGGAGGGGTGTCAGTGGGGGACAGTCCTTGTGACCCCTCCTCTCTCTTTCCCCACCTCCAGTCACTGTGGGTCTTTCCCTCCTCAGAGCTGTATATTCGGCCAGCTTCTGAATGTTGGGGCCGCCATGGGTAAGTAGCCTGTCTTGCCTTGCCCCCAGCTCCTCCCCTCCCCTCCTGGGAGCCAAGGACTTGATCTGCTCCCCACCCCGGGGTTTTTGCGGGCCAGTCCCCGACCCAGTGACCTCAGTGACCCCAGTGACCCCAGTGACCCATGGATCCTAGCTGGTAGGCTGCATCCCTCGGAGGTCCACGGGTCTTGTGTTCCCAAGGCCCTGGACCCCTGGACCCACACGTTCCCCTTCTTTCTCCCCGAAAGTGGCCTGGATCTGTGTCCTCCGATACCTCCAGCTCCAGGAATGGGGGGTCCCTAAGTTTCCCAATCAGCTGTGTCTGGGGACAGGCTTCCTCTGTGCCTTGGGGGCCTCCATTGTGGGCAATTTCCAGGTGAGATACCACAGCTCGGGACCTCAGGCCATCCATTCAAACCATCCCTGGGGGTACAAGCTTCTGAGATGGGGTCCTAGGCCCAATGTCCCCCAATGTAGCTCAGGAGGCAGAGTCCCAAGGTGGCTGAGGGGGAGGCGGGAGGGAAGTTAAAAGAAACTTGCAGGTCCCTTTCACCAGAAAGGGGAAACTGAGGCCAGAGAAGGCAAGGGGCACCCTGAAGTATCAGAGCAAGTATAACTAGGGGGTGTTTGGAGACCTTGAAGTCCCCGGCCCCCAGCCACCCTGGTCTTTGCACCCCACCTTGAGAGAGCTGGACGGAAGGTGATGACTCCTAGTCCAACGCCTTCACGTTCCAGAGGACATTGAGGCCGCCCCAGGCCTGAGCCCTGGATGGGATGGTCAATTCCTTAGTCGCCAGTTGGGTTCAGTGACGTCATAGATCATGGAATGTCAAAGCTTTCTGAGCCCTTGGCCATGTTCTGGTGCCCCTCCCTTCATTTTCCAAGAGGCCCAGAGAGGGCAAGCAGGGAGTTCCCCAGGTCCCTCCCCTAGGGAGGGCCACAGCCAGGGTCAAACCCAAGTCTGCTTTGGAATCTCCCCCTTAGTTAACCCAGCTCCCAGGCAACTCAGGCTTCTCTCTGGCTAGCCATGCCAGCCAGAAGCCAGGCCTCTGACCTGCCAGCTCTCTCCCTCCTCCCCTCAGCAAACAAATGAGCTCTCCACACATCTGTTTGGGTCCTTCCTGGCCTTTGTGGTGGGGGTAGCCTACTTCTGGACCCAGCTGATCCTGCTGCGTCTGACCAAGCCTCAGACCCAGCCAGGGGCCCCCTGGATCGAGCCTCTCCGTCTGCTGCTCTGTGGGGCCTGCACTGTTCTCATGGTGACCAGTATCCTAGGCATGACTGTGGGCCTTGGCTGGAGGGTGGGGAGGGGGAGGCCAGACCTCGGCAGCCCTAGCCTGCCCATTTCACAGACAGAGCAACTAAGGCTCGGGGCCCACTGCTCTGCCACAGACTTAAAGAGTGATCACTGAGCCTAAGCTCGGTGCTTGTGAGATGACAAGAGGGAGACCCAGTGAAGGGGAGGGCCACGTTCACCGTCACGCTGCTCCCTTCGAGAGTGAGTCCTGGTACCTCCTAGTACAGGGAAAACCTGGGATCCCGTGAGGGGGAAGCTGGGTCAGGCTTGGGCCAGAGCTGCCCAAACGTGAGCTTGAGGCCACTGATTCCAGATCTCTTCTTTTCCCACCATCCCACACACTGACTCCATCTCGTCAGTCTTTACAGACCTGGCGGTTACACAGTGAATCTGGAGGACGGGGTGGCAGCTGGACCCCAGCCCAGGCAGGGAGGGCAGGGGAGGGGGTGGCAGCCAGGCGCCCTGGCCCAGGCAGCAGGGCAGAGGAGGGGGCGGCAGCCGGAGGCCCTGGCAGGGCAGGGGAAGGGGCGGCAGCCAGACGCCCTGGCAGGGTAGACAGGGCAGCAGGACACCCCGGCCCAGGTAGGGAGGGCAGGGACCGGCCCCACATCTGCCCGTGATCCTTGACCTCGGAACGCAGTGGTGGTGCTGCACCTGTGGCCCCTGCGTTCTGCAGCGGCTGTGTGTGAGTGGTCCATTGCCATGCTCCTCTTCGCCCTCTTCGGCCTGCTGGCTGTGGACTTTTCCCACCTGAGTGGCTTCGTCATAACCCTGCAGAGCAGGCCCGCCTCCTGCCCCCAGAGCGCCGCCCACCTGAGCTCTCTCTAGCTCTCCTCTACGCGGTCCCTGGTGGTGCCCCACCTGTTTTCTATCCCAGGGGACTGTCGACGCAAGCACCCCCTTGGATTCCAAGCCTGCTGTGGTCTGGGCCCTCCTATCACTGACCTCTGACCCAAGCCTGGGCCAGAGACAACCAGGAGCAGCAGAACATTGGGTCTTCATCCTCTCCTGGCCAGGGGTCTGTGACCTCTGACCCCGACCATGGCTGAACCGGACACCTCTGCAGGGAGCTACGGCTGTCTGCTTTGGTCACTGAAGGCTCGGCACGTACCCCTCAACCCCATCTCCCAAGCTCTCTGACTCCCCTGGCTCAGGGGGAGGGGGAAGTGTTGGGGTGTCTATCAGGAGACCCCGGGAAGGAGCTCTGGCATCCTTAGGGGCCTTTCTATTCATGCTTCAGGCCCTGGGAGGCAACAGCTATCGGAGTCTGAGGAGCACGTCAAGAGACAGGAGACAGAAGGCGCGAAAATTGAACTTTTCATTTCGCGAGAGCAAATCCGTACAGAGCGCAGGGGGGAGACAGAGAAGGAGAGACAAGGAGAGAGGGGGGCTGGGGAAACAGAGACGAGGGCCCCCCAGCCCCCGCCCCATTGGCTAATCCACCCACATCCCCTCCCCTCCCCCTCCCCATAGATAAATAAATAAATTAATCATAAATAAAATAGAAATGCCTCCCCCCCCCACCTCCCACCCAGCCCAGTCACCCCTTCCCTTCGAGGGTCACTGAACCCCTGGGCCCCCACCCCATGCCCTGGCCGTATTTACAGCTTCACAGTTGTGGGGGTTGATGGGGAGGTGGGGAGGATGGGGGATCTGTGGCCAGAGTGACCCCTGAGGGGGAGGGAATGGGGGCTGGGGACCAAGATGTAGGAGGGAAAGGGGGATAGAGATCAGGGCTGGGGACTCCCACTGGCCGCCAGCAGCTTCCTGTCCTTGGGGGGTGGCCCACGCCGAGGGGAGCCACCCAGCTCAGGGGGCTCAGATCGGCCTGGTGGGGGCTGCAGCCCTCGGGGAGGCGTGCTGGCAGGGGACCTTGGCTGGGTCCCATTCTTCTCATCTGCCGCCACATTGATGGGAAGAGAGAAGAAAACCATGAGGTGGGCCTCCAGCAGTAAAGGGGATCTCTCAGATGCCATTTGCTGCAAGGCCTGGCCCTTCTAGGGGATGGGGGGAGCCCCTCAGAAGAGTCATGGGTGAAATGGGGTCCAGGAGGGTCTGGTGGACCCCGTGGGCCTCTTCTCAGCACCAGGCTTGTGGGGCCGGCAGCCCCATTTCCCGTACTGCTCCCTGTGGTCCGGGGCGGGGGCGGGGGGGGGGGAGGTTAAGGAGGCTGAACGCTGGGATATTCCCACCTAGTGGAAACGCCTAGCCTGGAAGCTCCTTGAGGCCAGGGACTCTCCTTTGTTTTGCCTTTGAGACACCAGAGCCCAGCAGGGCGGAGACTTAATAAATGATTGAATCAGGATGCTGCTCCCCAGCAGTGAGGCCTCCCAAGGCCCAGGGAGGCCTAAGCACCCTCCAAGGCTGACTCCTCAGAGGGATGGTGAGGCTGGGCCTGGCTGAGGGGCCGGGCCTCTGCCAAGGGGATGCCTTCCCCTGAGAACACTGGCTGCCTAGCAACAGTCTCTAGGGAGGCCTAGTATCCCCCTCCCCTCACCAGACACACATACAGAGGCATTACCCGCTTAGGATTATGGTTGCTAAGGTGCTTTCATTGCCTAGCAACAGTTTCTAGGGAGTTCTGGTCCTCCCAAGAGGTGCTGCCCTGGTAAAACCTTGGTTGTTAAGACAGCTTAGCAAGTCTCCGGGGACACCTGATTGGACCTTGGTTGCTAAGGAGGTGCTATTGCCTAGCAACCGTCTCTAGTGAGACTTCCCCAGGACCCTATCCCTTTGAAGCCTAACCCCTTGGCGGCAACAGTTCCTAATGGATCTGGGAAGGTTGGCCACCCCCTTCTCTCACATCCCAGGCCTGGGGGGCCATGTGGCAGGAAAGGATGGTCTCTGGAAGGTTCCGCCCTTTGGAAGTCAGGCTGCCTGCCAGGGCCAGAATGTGGCAGGGGCAGAGGGCCCATTCCCTCTTCCCTGCTTCAAGAGATTGGGGCTGCCGAAGCCTGATCACTCCACCAATCCCCTCAATGCCAAGGGCCTTCCCCGGTGGCCAAGGCCACGCTGCCACCACGCTCTCCGCACCTCCCTCCAGAGCCTCGCCCTGGGGCTCCTTTCACCTCGGCCCCCTCACCTGCCAGAGCTTGCACCGACGGCTGATCGTGGGTGCTCAAGAGCTGGGCCTGGATCGTCTCCACCACACGTTTGAACCGACGGCTGGGACCTACGCGGGAAGGCGGAGGCCGTGAGTGGGGGCTGGGCAAAAGCAAAAAGTGAGGCGTGGCCCTTCCCACAAGTCTGCCCAGACGGAGGGCCTGGGGAACGTCTCCAACACCCTCAGGTCTGCCATGGCCCCAGAGGAGCAGAGGAGGAAGAGCAGGGAAGAGCCACTCAGACCCCGAGGTACCCACCAGCAATGAGTGTAAAGGTGACTGAGTAGACCCCAGTGCCGTCCCGCTCCCGCCGCCTGGGAGGGGGGTCAGGGCCCTCGGAGGAGCTGATGTCAACCTGGAAGCGAACAGGTTTCTGGAAGACGGAGGGGCCCCCGCTGGTCTTGTATTCGGCCCGGAAGCTGGTCTGGGACAGCACGCTATGGCTCAGGCTGGGGATCTGAATCGGGAGGGAGGGAGGGAGCATTAGTGAAGCACCATCGCTGGGGAGGACGGCCAGGCGGCACCAGCATCTGCAGCCCACCCAGCTCTCCCGCAAGCCTGGCAGCCCGCAGATGAGGGCAGTGGACAAGACACTAGAGGCTGGGGTGCTTCCCACCCTTGGGGCCCTAGGCACCCTGCTATGTGCTGCAAGAACTCAGGGCTTCACTGCCCCCAGGAGGGCCCAGCGCGGTAGGCCATCGAGGCCTTGGAGGCCTGCAAATCTAGGCCCGCTTCCTGCGTCCCTCAGCCAGCCCGGCAAACGCAACCTCCCAGAGGAGAGATGGAGCCGCTGGGCTGGCTGATGGGCCCGGAGCACTGTGGGGCCCCGGAATCCGGGCCCACGCTCCCTCTGGGAGAGCAGGGTTAGGGTTAGAGACCAGCCTGGGAGTGACAGTGCAGAGGCAGCCCCAGCGAAGAAGCCCAGCCCCAACCTGCGATTTCCAGCCATCCCCAGGACAACCCAAGAGTGAAAGACTCCATGGGGACCTTCCATGACCCCATCTTGGGATGGAGTGCTTTGCCATTTCCTTCTCCAGCTCATCCACAGATGAGGAGCTGAGGCCAACAGGGGGAGGTGACCTGCCCAGGGTCACCCGGCTTAAGTGTCTGAGGCCACATTTGAACTCAGGCAGACGGGCCGTCCTGCACTATGGCGCCACCTAGCGGCCCCTCAAGGGCCTGGGAGGCCACTACCTGCCACTCCACAGCCCTCCCCCATTCCCTCCTCCCACAAGTTTTTTGGAGGAGTAGGGTCATTTCCTCCTTGAAACTCCCAACAAGCTGTAGGCCAGACCCTCAGAGAGTGAGGAGGCGGGTGGCTCTCGGGCAGGATGGCAGTGGTAGTTCCCACTGCCACGCCTCCCCCACCCATCCCCTAGCCTGGAGCGTGGGATGAGGGAGATTTCCTAGGGGGTAAGGGAGGTGGGGGAAAAGCTCTGAACCCAATTTGTGGTCCTAGGGTATGTTGGGGGGCGGAGATGGGGGGCCATATTCATTAGCCTCAGATTTCTTACATCCTTCTCCCGGCAGAGGCCCAGGGTTCAAACCCCATCTCCGACACTTATCATCTCACTTCACTTTCCTCAGTTTCCTCATCTGTAAAATGGGGCAGTTGGTCTAGCTGGCCTCTGTGGCGGCTTCCAGCCCTCAGCCTCTGAGCCTGTGATTGCATACCTCCCTCCACAGTGAGATAGACAGACGGAAAGAGGCCTGAGGGAGAGAGGCGCCTGTGACCACGCACCGACAGAAAGGCGTGGACGATGTCGGCCTTGATGCTGCTCAGTGCCTTGTTCTTCAGCACCAGGAATATCTGCTCATCCTTGTCCAGGGAGATGAAGTTTCCAAACCAGGAACGCTTTGCCAGCCTGGGGGTGGGGGGGAGGAGCAGGCTTAGGGATCCTTGAGTTTAGCCAGCCCATTCCGCAGATGGGGAAAAGTGAGGCCTAGAGGAGCAGGGCCCTGATTAGGGCCGCCCAATACATAGGAGCTGCAAGGGAGAGCTCAGAGACGAAGTCCAAGGTCTTTGCTTGGCAAGGGGAAAAGTGGGATCCAGAGAGAGGCAGGGCTTTGTAAGTTCCTAGGGCTTAAAGGGCATGCAGGCCAACCCCCTCACTATACAGAGGAAGAAAGTGAGGCCCAGGGCGGGGAGTCAGGCCATTCTGGGATTGAGCCGGTCATCTCTGACCGGCTAATAGCTTAAGCAATCGCTGATTTGACATTGTGGGCCAGAGGCGAGAAGTCTTAGCTCACCCTGCAGGGGCAGAACCAGAAAGAACTTCAGAAATCACAAGTCCAACTGAGGCCCCGAGGTGGAAGGAGCCTCGCTCCAAGTCACCCAGCAATCTTAGGATCTTCTAGACAAACCCTCTTATCTTAGAGAGGGGTAAGCAGAGACGCTCCTCCCCCTCTCCCCCCAAGAGGCCAGTGGCTCTTCCAAGGACAAGTCCAGGCCAAAGCCTTGGGCCCCACAGTATGATTGCCCCACCTCCCTTCCTACATCAGAGCATGACTCACTCTGGGGATGATTCTGGTGTCAAGCTGGACATCTCTTCTGCTGTGGGGACTAGAGAGAGACAGAGAGAGAGAGAGAAGGAGGCAGGGAGGGAGGAGAGAGAGAAAGATGGGGGGGG